TTTGAAATAGGCAGGACAAATTTAGGGTATGACAGATGCCCCTATCTAATTGCCTTGAACCTGAGAGAATGAACAGCTGCATGGCGTTCATTTTTAGGGTGGAAGTCAATTAGATACAAGAAGACCCCGAAATTTGTCCGACAAGCAAGAAAAATGCAAAGAGATAAGGTATAACAGAACGGGATAGCAGGATGTAAAAGATGAACGAGATAACCTGATATTCTCTGGGTGGTCGAAGTAGTCCCTTATCCAATAAGGTTCCTCGCGATACCAAAGCAGTATCTCGAATAAAACATTTTGGGAAATATTTGAGCAAAATTCCTATCAGAGGAAGAGTGTCGTCCAACCTCTGCAGGGAAAAGCCTTTAAGAAATTTTTTAAGGTAACCTCTGCTTGGGGAGCCACAAGAGCAATAGCTGCTGGGGATTATCATCATTAACTACATGGTTGAAGAATGACTTGTTGGGGATTAAAATTCCTTGAACACACGGGGTATTTACTCTTTTCAGAGAAATACTGCCGACTTCACTGAAGGACTAACCAAGATGCTCACGAACTGATCCTGGATCCTATTATGCTATGTTGATGAGGACAACAATGTTATGCACTGTATGATGCACAAATATGCAATTAAGATACAACTTCTAGCAAAAACTGATGCACATGGGAATGCAAATGATGTACTAATGCTTGCCATGGTTATGATGTTACCCTATATGTTATGCTTATAATAATGCAAATGATCAGGTACGTTGGGGATAGAAGTTCCTGTCGGGGATACTGTCACACCTCGAAAAATCACAGAGACATTTCGGAGAACGCGACCCTCGCGCAAAAGGCGCGGAAATGCGGTTCGACAGAGTCGCCACCGAACTTTATTTTTCCCGAATGAACGAGAGAGGAAAATATCGAGAAAACCTCTTAAAACGAAAAGGATAGGAACAGGGCTGTCGCAACCAAGTTCCGGGTTCGGGAGTCGGTTACGTGAGGGGAAGGTATTAACACCCCTCACGTCCGTCGTACTCGACGGGAACCTCTTAAGGTAATTGTGGGGAGTGTTGTTTAGGTTTACTTGTTTTCTTCTCGTTATTAAAGGTAGAATTGGTAGGATAAAGGTTAAAGACGCTAAAGGGAAAATGGGGGGGGGGGGGGTTAGAGAATAGGGTGCTCGCCAAGGATCGGGGCCCTTGTGCCTACGTATGCTCATTCGGACGAGAATGAGAAATCAAATCATCGTAGTTCGACTACGGGAAAAGGATGGGGGGAAACGGAAGATGGATAGAAGGTAGCTCGCCAAGATCATCGCAATCTTGTGCCTACGTATCTTATATTCAAGAATGAATAAAGAATCAGAGCGTCCGTAGTTCGTGGTAACAACCACGAAAAGATGAGGTTTAAAAAGATTGAAGTTTGAGTTTGAGACGAGAGGGTGACTGACAAGCAACCCAAGAGCGCGCCTCAAGAGCTTGTCACTCAAAAATTCAAGGAATGCGAGATTCCAGGAACTCAATTCTTTCGGGAATCGGGTTGAATAGATTGAAGATAAGAGTTGGACGTTTTGAAATCGAAAGAATGAACTAATAACAACTCAAAGGCGCGCCTCGAGAGTTACTCATTCGAATATTCAAAGAATGCTAGATTCTAAGAATATCCCTCTTTCATAAGTTTAAAAAACGTTTATGAAAAGATCGAATCGAAAAAATGGCATGCGAGGCCAAAGGAAGTTGATTTGGAAACGGCTCGACGACGTGTCGAGGATTTGTTTGAAAATGAAACCGACTTGACGACGTGTCAAGGGTTAAGATTGTGAGAAACGATATTAGTCCCTGAGGGTGCCCCTAATATCGAAACCACGAGGAATTGTGAAGCGTGTGCAAAATGTCGATGGTTGCGAATGCGTATGAACACTCGACTTAGGAGAATGTTGGAAAATGATTGAGTTTGAAAAAGTCGAAAGGTTGAGTAAATAACAACTCAAGAGCGTGCCTTAAGAATTATTCGCTCGGAGGTTCAAAGAATGCCAGATTCCGAGAACCTCCTTCTTTCAGAGTTTTAATCGAGAAAAAATTGAGAAAATGTTTTGAAATAGTTTGAAGTGAAACGAGGTGTGAAAATAACTTTAGGAGAAGTGATAATTATTGGATAAATGAGACGTCGGCCTCACAACCAATTAATCGGAGTATTATCGAAATGCTAGATCTCGATAACACCATTTTTATCTGAAAATGTTTGGATGAACAGCGGAAATATCACACGGAATGCTAGATTCCTATGATATTTCTTTGCCCAAGATAGCGTACTAAACGAAGAGTAGAACGACATATTATTTGAGGTGTACACCCCAATAATGTTCGTCCAAAAATCCACATAAGATTCTAGCTAACAGGTCAATAATGATTTATCATTATTAATTAGATAATGATGCTAAATTTTAATTAGTAATTTAGTAGCAAAAATGAGTATTCAAAAAAAATATTATTGTTTCAAAATTCTTTCTCTTTAAAAGAAAATCTATTTTGAATAAGTTACTTAATAAATGGGGGACTGATTTTTGATTTAACTTATAAAATATTGTTTGAATAAACAACAAAAGTATCACGTGGAATGCTAGACTCCAATGATATTTCCTTTTCTAAATAATTAAAGGGCGTATTTTGAAGCAAAAAGTCGAATGATCTATCCAAGGCGTACGCCCCAATAATATTCATTCAAAAACTCAAGAAGTGCTAGACTTCAAGAATTTAATTTTCCGTAATTTGATTGAAAGAATGATTGTAGTAAAAAAAATAATAAGTTGAATGAAGGTTAGAAAAAAAAATTATTAATTTTGAAAGCGATTACTTAAGTTAATGGTTTGAGTCAATGTTAAATATTTAATTAGAAAATATGTTAGAAATAATAAAATAAATATATAAAGTATGAAATTTTAACTTACTTACAAAAATCCATTAGTTGATTAATTTGTTAATAAAATATAATATATGAGGGACTTTTAAACCAATTAAAAATGGAGGGTAACATTTTGTAAAAAAACAACAACTTTAAACTATGATAAAAGGATGAGAAGTGAGAAAAAAACGGGGACTGCTACGGTAGCCACCACTCGTCACGGCCAAATGCTTTGCAAAACTGTCACAAACAATTCAACAACTCACGGTAGATTAAAACTATAAGAGAAAGAACATCATAATCCGGGTAACTTAAACCTGTAAACAACAATGATATTTACCGCATTATAATTAAAAGCAAGTGAATTTATAAGTTTATGATCAACCTGTAAACATAACAAAATAACAACCACACTTAACACCCAAATGGCTTCAGTATATCTCCTATCAAATGAGGAAAACATTGCCAGCAAGCAACCTAATGAACAACCTTATCCTTACCAATAGGTATTAAGCAATGTCAAGAAAATGACATTCTGGCAATAATAACGTTAAAGTCTCAGCATTTTAATACATCCAAAAGAACCAAATATTAACAGTGCAGTAAAAACTGGTAAATTTGAATACTTAACCCGACCAACTCTCGCGATCCAACTGTTGAAGAATACTGCAGGACCAAGAGCTTGACACCGCACTGTTTTTTGCTGTTGTAGAACAACCGGGTTATGTGAATCCGGTGTTGTCGTGTTGAAATTGAATCGAACCAATACCATTGATCCCCTCTCAACCTGCACATAAATATTCATACAAACAAGCAGTATGGGGTGTACACAAAATATAGAAGCCAAAACTACAACATCCCGAAAGAACAATGAACCGCGAAATTAGATAACAAGCAGTACTTCACAGGAAAAATAGAATAACAACAACAGCAGTAAAAAAAAAACATTTTGACGCAATGGCGGTTTTTTCACTAACATGTAACAATAACAACTACCATCCATACCTAACACAATACAAGTTGCCATTGAAACTGATATAGCATTTAAAACTCAACTTATAATTTTGTTCAGTATGAGTTAGAGAACTGCATCATAACAGAGGAATGTTAGTAATAACCTCAACTCTTACCAATGGATTCATAAGCTATTTGAAATCCTGCATAAACTTTAGAATATGAATCACCAACTTTAACTGGACTAAAAAACTCATACAGGAAACTCCCCAGATGTGACTAATATTGAAACCTGAAAGAACAGCCCGAAGATTATCGACGTCACGTCGGATATTCGGTAAAGTTAAAAAACAAACCACAAACCAAAGGAAATGATAAATAGGTACAAAATGATGAGCACTTAATCAACAATGCCAACATAAAGTGACCAAATTGCAAATGCCAACACCAACACATAATTGATACATCATTCACAACAGAAGAACACGGCATACACATTCCAGTAACACGCAAATTCGCTCAATCAAAATTAAATTATCAGTGATGAAACAACACCATTTCCATAACAGCACATTCACCACAAGGTAAGAGGGAAAAAAAAGAACCGGACCGAAACGCTACCGAAACGTCGAACAATCCGCAAGTTAAGCACAACAGCAGCCACGGATAAACGCAGACAGCATAAGCACACAAATACACATAATATTATTGTTAAAAAAAACGAAACAATGCGGCATAAATGGATTACCAATCTTCAGATTGCAGATTCAATGATTCACACACAGTACAACATACTTAAAATTACAACTATTAATAGAAACAACTATTATTGCTAACATTTATCAAACTGCAAGTTGGTATTAAAACTGATACAGGGTTAAAACTCAAATTTATGGCATGTTCATTATAATTCAAAAAGATGAATCACAAAACAAATAAAACACCGCAAGACTGAGCTTATCAGAAATACACTCTGTTCGAAAGATTTACCCTTAACATCTCACGGTCCACTGTTGCAGAGCCAACTAGGATGTATCCTGAAGGTTCTCATTGCGAAGTTGCCGAAACACACTTGTTTGAATGCGCCGCGATGTGGATGTTGAGACTCCTGTTGCGCCGTTGAAGAGTTGTTGAGCCAGAATTGTTGAAACGCTACCATGTTCCAACCTATACATTCCTTGCGCACATTTCTGTCCCCAACAGTTTGTCACAATCTTGTCTCAAAATGTGACAAACCACCGAGTCTCTCGTTGCCGTCATTGGTGCTGCTTCACTGTCGGTTGTGCTTGCGTTGTGATTTGTTGAATGGTGTGAAGGTTGTGGAATTTGATACTTGCAATTCGCGCTTGACATTGCTTTCTTCCAAGTTATCAATGCTTCCGGCAATGTTAGTGTTGCGGCTACCGTCAAATCAAAATCCCATTTACTCAAAAATGGTAAAACCAAATCCACATATTATTCAATTTAAGTCTGTAGCAGCAGCACGCAGAGTAGTGGCAACATCAACAGCTAGCGTGTAGTCGTTGTCGGCGTCGTATCAGGTGAGCTTTCAACTGCAAACATACGAGACGAACTGACATCGCGATTCAGAATTAGCTCGACTTTACAGTCGCTTCCGCCACACTCAACCTGCGATGGATAGAAACACAACCCAAACAGCACAGGAAACCAACACAAAAATTGAAAATGAAAAAGAAAAACTAAGCATATACATAACCCATTCACTCTTCCTGCTTCTTGCTCATCATTATCTCCATAAACTTGTCGCAGTTTGACCCGCGCATAACCGAAACCTGCTGCATACGTTGCTGAAAACATAAACCCTGCAGGCGAGTTGCTCTTGTCGTACTCGAAAACAGAAGCAAACCGTGTAATACGAAGTAAACCATTATCGTAACCTAAATCGGTTGTTAATGTTGAAAACTTGCCGAAAATCGACTCAAACTAAAATTAATGCATAAGATGAATGCAGCAACAGCAATTCATGAGTGTCAGACCAAACTCACTATCAATTTAATGAAGACAAAACACAATTGATAAAAACTAACTACTGCAGACCAAGCATACGTTAATTTAGTTAATTCCGGCATTTTTGCAGCATGAAGTTAAAATGATAGCTCAATATACTACCGGCATATATGAGTAAATATTACCTGCTACTGAGACAAACACGCCTCTTCAACCAAAGCTAACCTCATCAGCTTCAAACCGAAAATTATAGTGAACAAAGTTCCCAATCGTGAAGTACGACAAGGTATCTGCGTGAAACAGAACACGGTGGAGTTGAGGATGCGATGCTCTTTGCGGTGTCGCGTGGTTGATGTTGTTACGAAACAGGGTTGACGCCCGATATGTCGTTGCGATTCGAAGCAGAAGTTATCACGTAATCGAAACTCCGACTTGATTAGGATCAAACGGTAACAGCAGTACAAGCTTTGTGATGTTGTCGTTGTTAAAATCGCGAACCAAAGCAGTTTTGAGGTCGTGTTCTTTCGGCGAACGACTTGTGTAGATACGGTGGGGTTTTGAACCGATTTCGGCGAGATTGAAGGGATTGATGGTAAAAAAAATATGATTGAGGGGTTTCTATGAGGTTAGCGGCGGATTTGGATTTTGGTGAAGGTTTATTTTTAAGAAAGAGGACGGAGGAAAGCGATTTTGGAATTTGAACGAGTTTGAAAGGGTGTCGCGGTGGGTTTGGAGATCTAGGGTTTTGGGGTAAATTGGGGAAAAAGGAGCGGCGCCGATTAGGGTTAGATTGGGGGATGAACAGTAACTTCGAAAATTAGGGTTCCCCTCATCTGAAGCTACTCCCTCCTCTTTATGCTGACCAATTGTGGGCCTCTAACCAATTGGGACTTCTGAGTCTCTCAGCCCCTTCTTTTTTAAATGTTTTCTTTTCATTAACCTATTTACAACTATTTGAAACCCAAATATTAACAAATATAATAAATATTAAAAATACAATAATTAAATCTAAATTAAAGTTAACAACTATTTAATACAGACAATGATTGTTAAATAAATATTAACTACTAACAATTAAATAAATATTAAAACATATAAAACCAACTAAAAATATATATATAAAAAAAACGAGACAATAATAACTAAAGAGAAATGTTACTAATAACACTTAAAAGAGAAAAAATTTAAGAAACTGAGAAAAAATAATATTCACAAAAAAGGTTTTTTTAGGCCACGGGTCACACCTTAATTGGGCGAAAAAAAGGAAAAATTTAAAAAAAATGCTCAATTATGGGTGGGCACGTGTCTAACTGACATGGTACAATAAAAAATATACAAAATTAAAAAACAAAGCAAAAAAAATTTGAAAAGGGGTAGGACAATTTTAGGGTATGACAGATACCACCAAGGACTGGATTTTGTATTTGCCAAATGGATTGGACTTTGGTTTTATGAGGATGCCATTGAGGGAATCAACGTCAACCTCTGCTCGGGGATATGAGAACAAGACTCATCAACATCGACCTCTGCTTGGGGATCGAGTTAATGACACAGACTCTGTGGGGAACTGCAATGAACTTGTCTCACTGTTGGGGGAATAATCCCAAATACCTGTTGGAGATAAGTGCAATCTCAACCTGCTGGGGAGATACTTCTGAACTAACGTCATCACCCTGTGGGGATACAGAATCTCTAATGCTGATTAATCAAGCCTCTTGTCGGGGAATGTGATAGCATGGGATCCAATGAAAGTACAGTTGGGCTTTTTGGTATAGGGATGGGACCAGGTTTATGGTGATTGGATGTTTAGAAATTTATTTTTTTGGTTACCAATGCAATTGGATTTTAAAGGGGGATTGAGAACTATTATTCGAGGGTGGACTACCAGACGAGAACTGGTGGCAAAAGGTTAAGTTGTGAGACGAGAACTGACTTCTAGTTTTGGGTATCCGACGGGAACTGATTTTGTGGTTTGGTATCAGACGGAAACTAATTTTTGGTTTGCCAGACGAGAACTGGACTTTGAAATGGTGTTTTCCAGACGAGAACTGGCTAAACAAATGGCTAAAGAAAGGGTTATCAGACGGGAACTGGTTTAAAAATTGACGTGTACCAGACGGGGACTAGTGTTTAATGAAGGGCTGACCAGGCGAGAACTAGTTTAAAGGTCTGCCAGACGAGAACTGGGCTTTGAGAATGTCTTGGTTACAAAGCTCTAATCGATATCAGGTTCAGGCTATGGGATGAAGGTCCAATGACAGAGAGGCCTTTTCAGAAGGTTCAGGTTATTGATAGGGTGATGGAACGATTCCCCGACACTCAACTTGAACTTAACAGTTGCTGATGAACCTGTCTGAATAACTTGCCCCGGTGAAGTTCAACTTCCCCCAGTCTGATCTTCGGGAAAGTTCATCTTGAAAAAGGAAATAGCTTGCCATGAGAAGACCTCGAGATGGCTTGCCGCAAAATCTGTACCATGAAAGGATTCGTCCTTGATTGACCGACTCCCATAGTGGTTGGCTTCAATGTACTCTTGAAGTAGCCTGCCCCTGAATGAGCGTTGAAGCGACTTAACTTGTCCTGACTGAACACTAGAGGATCTTCCCTCAAATCAAAAGAATATTCAGGTGACCTGCCCCTGATTGGTAGAGTCTCGAGATTGATTCACTTCTGGTCAACCGCTTCTTGAATGATTTGCCCCATAATCAACTGATGCTTAGGGAATTGTCTCAGACTGACTGATTCCAAACTCTTCATATGCCAATGCCCCAGATCCAGACTGCTGAATGATCCAGTCCTGTTTGACTACTCCTTATTGGAATTTCCTCCATGTCAACTACTGACCTGCAATTAAAATTGTTTGCTCACGAATGGTAATTTTAATTCGGTGTTCATGCAGATTTTGAAAGAAATGTACTTATTAAGTTCGTGATCGTGAGACGAATGGATCATTTAGTCCAAACGTTGTGCTAACTTGATTTGTGTGAAAGATATAGCAAGGATAATGACACCAATGCTGATGAGTAGCAAATATGTAAGGAGTCAGTTTCCGCAACCCTGCGATAGTATTCTTTCAGAATAAACCCTGCCTCAATTAGGTCTTTTAAGGGTTATAACATGGTCTGGTTCATGGTTATTGAAACAAAGGATATTAGTCTCAAAGTATGATTTGTACCCACCCCTTCTCCGTGATGATCTCCAATCCTACGTTCAGTTAACTTGGCACAAGCGCTTACCTCTTCAAAAGGTTTGTTGAATGGTAGGAGTGACGGTTAAGGAACCCACAAGGTTTTCAGAGTAACAGTTATCCCTTTTGTCTTCTGTGTCTGTATTAGTTCACACGACTTTGTTCTTGTTTGAGGATTTTTCTTCTGAAATCCTTTCTTTTTATTCTTTTATTCCCTAACTTTTGGCTGGACTGATTTTTGAAGTTTTATATTTTGAAGTCCAGCGGGATGCCCCAATTTTGCCTAAGTATTTGCTTTCCAGCTTTTCAACTTAGCGGGCTTTCTTTCTCTCTTTTTTTTTGAAACAAGTCTTGTGACACTGATTGTCTTGATTTTCTCTGAAAAGGGTTGTAACTGTCACACTCCTGATTGGTGAGGTTTAAACATTGTGGTTGATGAGGGACAACCTCTTGAGAAGGATAAGATGTGATTGGTCCTCGAATGGGGACACTCCTCTATAAAATTTGAACGCTCGGTCAAACTAACTAACAACTACCGTGTCCCAAGTTAAGATGTAAGGGTTTGAAAGTTCAAAAGAAACTTCTACTTCTAGGCTCGAAGTGGTTAACTAGGGACTAACTCCTTATATCTCTGGTGTTTAGGGGATTTGAAACAATGTCTGTACGTCATCAACAGGATTTTATCCGAAAGCATACGATCAACAATTATGAGTTTTTAGTTTTTGTCATCCTCCCTCCAATCTTTGCTAAACAACAGTGATAAAGTGGAGTGGATAAAAGGTGTACATGTCTGTGCTTTGTGATAAATGAGCGAATGCGACATGATTAATTCAGAAAAATGCATAATCACTTCATTAATATTACCATTCAAAACAATAACGTTTAAAAGCAAGTAACAATTAGCAAGAGAAAACTACAAATGCAAATGATAAAAATGCCCCAAGACTGCCAATGTTGAGGACGTCTGTCTGTCTGGACCACTGACTTCTGGAAATGAACCTTAGAATCTGCGAGCTTAGACAGCTGAGAGGTTGACGTGAACAACCAAACTTCCTTCTGGAAAGGAAATGTACCCTTTTTCAATCATCTATTGCACTTTGGCTTGAAAAGCTTTGCAATCTTCGGTTAAATGCCCCATGGATCCTCCATGATATCCACAATGAGCATCGGGATCATACCTAGGTGGGTATGGTTCTGGAAAAGGCTTGAGAGCTTTGGGTTCTACCAGCGAGTTTCGGACCATATGCAGTAGAAGTTGACTATACAACATAGGAACTAGATGAAGAGGATCAATCCTTCTTTCCAAGTTATTTTGAGGCCTATGCTGATTCTGACGCTGATTCTGATAACCTCGACCACGGGTTT